AAGAGGGACACGTTTCCTGTGGGTTTCCAAGCTCCTTTGTGGGACCATGCTAAAGGACAGAGGCTATACAGGCATTTATAATATACAGCTTACAGGCGATTGAAGAGCCCTAACATAGCTCAGCTCACACCATCCCTACAGACTTTCTCTGCCATACCACTCTCTCTTCTCCTTGAGGGCCAACTCTCAGTCTCGCTGGGTAGCACGAGCTATTAGCAACAAGGGGTTAAAACAGGCATTGAAAGGGAAAGATGGTGAGGAATTTCTGCCCAAAGGGACCCCTTCCCCACTGCTGGCAGGGTTTTGTCTTCTCTGCCATGGACACCCGTTCCTCCCACTTAAAAGTGCCTCTGCTCTTTGAACCCCGTAGAATAAATGAAGCAGGCACTCGGAAAGCAACAGCCGGCTGCCTGGAGATAGCATTTTAATTAGCCAGCGATCAAAATGTGGACGTGACCAAAAGTCTTTGAGAGGAAATTCTTTTGTGCAGGGTGAAACGCTGTGCTCCTAGATTAGCGCGCGAGCCTGCAAACCTGGCCCGGCTCCACACGTCCTCACGTCACCTTGGGATGCGGCCCATGCAAGTCAGGCGCAACACGCGGGCTCAGACTGGGCGGGATGAGGCCAAGCCAAGCTCCCATGGAGGAGTGGGATTTTTCACCTGCACAGACCCTCTCCAGTGAGGCCAAGGCTCCCCCTCCAACAGCAAGCAGCAATCACTTCCCTCGCGAGCAGTTACACCCCAGCCACATCCAGTCTGGAGGATAAACGAGAAGAACTGGATAGCTTCCAGGGCCCGAGGTACCTCATTCAGAGCTGGCTTGGATGCCGCTTTGCCACGCTGCCATCCTGTTGCGACTGCTGTATGAATATATGTGGTTTGAGGCAGCTGCCTCAGCTCTGTTGCAGGCACTGTTGAGGGTGAGAGGGAACCCCACACTCAAGTGAGCCCCTTGAGCAGGCAGAGTGGTCCCGGGCAAAATGCACCATCCAAGCAGGCAGAGATGTTCATCTCGGAGCTGGTGGGTACCAGGTTACCTTGCTCTGTAAATGTCCTACATTTCCTGAGCCCTCAGAGGCAGGAAGAGAGAGGGGTGTATAGCACTTTTCTCCTTCAGGCACCAGGAGTGGGCAGCTCTGCTCGCAGGCAGGGTTTGACACATCGTGTCTGTCTGTAAGGAGCCTGCTGTCTCGTGCATCCAGGAGGAATGTCCTGTGTTCCATCGGGATGAGATTTCACACCCAGAAAGGTCTCCGCAGCTTGGCCCGCAGGAGCACCACTGACCCGCCATCTTCAATTTTTCTGATTTGCCGACTTATAAACATTTCCAAGCTCCTGTACAGCCAGCGCAAACCTAGTGACAATAGGCTTGCCATCTTCGTTGCCTTCCACAGCCCCCTGTGAAACAGCCCATAGATCCTCATAAGCCAAAAGCCAATGGTGAAGATGCAAAGCAGGCAACTCCTTGGGGTCCTCACCCCAGACATCCACGGACAGCCCGCTCACCTCCTCGCTGCTGGATTCTGCGAGATGTTACTGGACAAGATGAAACAGCCTCCTTAAGTACTTGTCTTCTCTCCTCCACTCTCTGTCCTCTGTAGAGGCACTGCAGATACACCTGCTAAGCTGCCTAAGTTGGCCTTCAAGCCTTTACTTTGGCAAAAGCAGGACTGAGGCAGCCATGAAAGCAGTGGCTTGTATTAACCCAAGTGGGTTGCCTCCAAGGCATCCAGGAGCCTGCAGTGCGCTCCTCTCCAACGCAACCAGAGGATTGGCAACATGTGATTCACTCACCTCCACGGCTGATGAGGGCTGAGGAAAGGACTGCGCTTGCAGAGAGCCCTTCCTCTGAAAGACCCCAAAGCACTTCACAGAAGATGCAGTAGTATCGAGGTTCCTCACAACAGGCCAAGCATGGTAAGAGCTTAGGAGTTCTTCATCCGTGACAGTGTGGTCTTGCTGAGCCGTCATCAGTAGCGGGTTACACACTGCTCCAACAGCAAACACAAAGCCCATTACCAGTGCAGGGGAGGCTCAGGATGTCACTTCTCATCTTGGATTGTAAGCTCCACCAAATTCACATCTAGTCGTGTCTGTACAGCACCCAGCAGGACGGTGCTTGGCTCCTGACGAGACAGAGGCAGGGTTGGGACCATCACCACATTCCTTTGTATCGGGGGCTGGAAAGGAACCCAGGAGCGCTGCCCCCTTGTTCATGCCCATCAGACCACCCTCTTCTCACTGAGCTGGGAACTTGGGTTGAGCCCCGCAAAAGTATTTTGGCGCCTAACTCCCATTGATTTCAAGGGGCTTTAGGTACCTACATACTTCTGGAGGCTCTGGGCCCAAATCCAGGAGTCCAACTGGCAGGTTGCTTGTGCCCTGTAGCCGCCAGAGGCAATGCTGGAGGGTGTGTTACACAATGGAAGAAAACCAGGATGCAAGGTAGAAGGAGAAGGCAAAGGAAATCAAGGTCAGAATTAAATTCTTTAATACAAAAAACGTGTTTGTCGTCGTCGTCGTCGTTTTTTTAAGATATATCTGTAATTTCTTTGTTTAAAAATAAATATGTACTAAGGAATATCTTGAAAAAATTCACTAGACACAATATGTAGTGTTAATATCTTTTTTCCCCGCAATTATTACAGATAAACAGTAGCACCAATAAATAAAATGATAACAAATATTAAAATTAAAAAGGAGAGAGATTCAAGATGTAGAATTTTCTATTTTTCCTGTCTCTTCTTTTTACATATATAAAAAAATCGTAGCGTCTATTTAATCCGAATCACACATATACATAAACATATATATATATATATACAAACACATAGCCAAATATATATATAGTATGTAGATGTATATCTAACCCTCGTCTCAATAGGAATGTGTAGGGGTAGGTGTTAGAGAAATTAATTAAATAACTGCCCATAACATGCTACTGACTCTGCCAACAATTGGGGAGAGATGGGATGGGACAACAGGAAAGTTAAAATTTATACACAACCAGTACAAATAAAAAAAAAAAAAAGAGGAGGTACGGCTTATAAATAGTTGAAATTAAATATTAACAAAGAATACTGAAAAATCCCTACTCTTTAATTAAATTATCTGTTTAATTTCTAATTTAAAAAGGGATATTAAATAAGTATATAAAACACTTTCTCTTCCCTCCCCCCCATCGGAAGCCTTTGTCTTGCGCATGATGCAGCATGAGTATTATACATTGTAGATGCAAGCACCCACCCGTGTGTTTTTTCTCCTTCTGAAAGCCATCAGTCGGATGGGGAGTTCCTAGTGGTTAGTAGTCGCTTGTTGTGAGTCTGCTTTTAGACTGTCTTGTCTTTTTGGAAGATTTCCGTGTTGTACATTATCAAGCGTTGAAAATTCAGTTGCAGATGATGTTTGGCAGCATTCTGACACAGACTGAGTACCTTTTTGATTATTATTATTATTATTAATAATTTTAATCACAGAACTAGATTATATATATCCACATAGATGTACAAACACGCTTTCGGGGGTGTGTGTGTGTGCGCACGTGTATAAGGTGGGTTTCACATACACCACAGGATATATTGCAGATACACACATAGCCAAGATTTTCAGACACAACTTAGGGATTCCAGGTGCCTTCACATTTGATTCCCCAGCCCAAGAAATGGAAAAGGGGCCTGATATTTACAGAACGTCCAGAAAAAATGTGACGTTCTAAAGGGTCATTAACACCGGGCACGCAAAACTGAAGGCAGCAAAAATTGCTTCCTTTTTTCCCCCGCTTCAATCTTGGCATACATACATACACATACACATACATACATACATATATATATATATATATATATGAGAGAGAGAAAAACAAAAACATACATACACACAGACACAAATGCACACATTCACATACACACACACCCCGACTGTGTATATACTTTTGATTAATATCCCTTTCCAGAAATGTTCCATAAGCATCTTGGATGCTCTTGAGTGGCAGCTCTGTGCATGAAGAAAGCAGACAGTGCTGAACAACTCTGTGGCTATGCACCGGTCCCCATTCTTGCTTCAGCACACTGTAGGCCTTGTGTCCTTTTGCAGCCACCAAGGGCAGGAAATCTAGACTCCTGTGATACTTCCTTGAATGGAAAGTTAGTGTGCATCAGCTGCCCACCATCGTTAAGAAACACCAGCACATCTCTCTGGCAAAGTTTCTATAGTGAATAAAGTCAACGCAAAATGTACACTGACATCCCATGTCCCAACAAGGCAGGCAGGTTATGAGACGATAAGGGCGAAGGTTGGGGGAAGAGAGGGGAGGAGGAATCCTTGATCACGCAGATAGCCATTTCCTTGGCCTTTGACCCATCGCACCCTAGGATGCCTCTCTTTGGAACTCCCTGCCCATCCTCTCCATCACCTCTCCTCCCTGTCCCAGGCAAGGAGAAGGTGGTTTGCGGAACAGCACACTCTACAGAGAAACAGCGGAGGCCGCACAAGTCAGTTAGAGTTAAGAAGTTTACACCCAGCGCTTCTACTCAAGTCCAGTCTTAGCTTGTTTCTTATGCCCCAGGTAGCCCGCTTGTGTCCACAGCAGTCGAGTATTATCCAGTGAAGACACCAATAACATTAGCAATGTTAAAAAAAATAATCAGTATATATATATATGTGTGTGTGTGTGTGTGTGTTTGTGGTTAAGATATACATATATGTATATATAGATGTGGTTAAAATATATATACATATATATATATGTATATGCATGTATACACACATATATATGTATGTATGGGAAAACCCATCAAATACACCCCTATAGTCTTCCTGGCTCTGTTATTTAGCAGCATGAAAAGAAAAATAAAATAAAACAGTTCAAAACCCAAAGGTGAATTCTGTGCGGCGGGTGCCTTGGGGAATGTTCCTTCCGGAGTCCATCGTCCGTACTGAAAGTGCTGTGCTCTACCGATCCTTCATTTTTAGGGTTCATTTGGATTAGTGTTTTGTTTTGTTTTGTTTTTTTCTGTCCAGGCGAGAAATCAGGCTCCAGAAACAGGGCTGTTCCCCCTTCTTTTCCGCTGCTCACCGTCTCGGTTTTTCACATCTGCCAGAGAGGAGAGGGAAGGGAGAAAAAAAAAAAAAAAGAGGAGAGGTTAATGCTTGTGACTGGAGGGAAGCAGGGGAGAAAATGTGAAAGGGAAGGGAAGGAAGGGAGGTTGCTGATGTGTTTAAGAGCACATGGTGTTAAGACATGGCGTGGTATCACTGGTGGGGTGAGGTGCTGTGCAGATGGGGCAAAACAGCTGAATGGCTAGCATGGATGGCTAGATGAATTCTACTCCCCAAGACCCACTTAGACTAGGGAGATACTGGTACAGGGGTAAATTTAGAAGCAGAATCACAAACTTCCCCACATACAAGCTGTGCTGAGTGTCTTGTTTGCACCCTCTCACACCACAAACACACACACATGCACACACACACACATATACACACAGTAAAACAAGGCCAAGCAATGCATGCAGAAAGACACACTCCCTCGGCTCTTCACCTAGCCCCTTGTTTGGGTTGGAAGCAGTGCAGACAATAAAGTCTCATGCAGGTAAGAATGTGAAAAGAAAGTGCCTCTTATTCCACTGGCTGCCAAGAGCAGGGGTTAGCGCCAGAAAACAGCAGCAGCAGCTCGCAGAAGCAGCAGGAGAAATGAGAACTTGCCCTTCCCTGTAGGGCCCAATTCAAACTCTACAAGGAGAAGGAGCAGGAGGAACTTCAGCTTAATCAACTTCATATCCATAAACAGGTAAGTTACCTACTCCCACGACTCCTTCCTATCCTCCTGGCCAACACACCAGCTCTGGAAACCTCCTATAGTGCCCATCATCTCATCAGAGGGAGAAACTAGTAAAATATTTGCGCCACCATGACTTCTTTGGGGTGTTGTCTCTTTTTCCTTTGCACTTGGGAATATTTCTCATCCTTCAAACTCTGTAATCTCCAGCTATTGTGGGGATAGGGGACAGAAGCAGGGGGAAAAGGTCAAGGTAAGGTCTGGTCTCACTCTTCAGGAACTATGCTTGCTGGGAGAAGTGTACACTTGGAAGCTGCTCTTTTCTGGCCTCTCCATCAATTTACTTTCCCGCTCAAGTTACAACATCTGAGAAAATTCCTCTGTGTGCAGAGCAGTTTTCAAAGCTCTGGCAGTGCCAGAAGCTTCTCTGGGTTTTGGCACAAAGCACTGTCGCACCTAATGGAAACACCTGCTACTTGCAGCAGCTTTAGTCACCCAGCCTATTCCAGGCAGGCAAATGGATGCCTCTTCTTTCAGGATGTAGCCACAGTAGACCCTGGATCTCTCTCCCTTTTCTTTCTCATCCAGATGCCACCACTGCAATATTCCCTTAACAGGAAGAAGCTCCTAGATCTCTGTGAATGGGGCGCGAGTTCAGAGTCACAGGCAAGGGCTCATCAGCGACCCCATCTCTATGTCTGTCTTTATGGATAGATAGGATGATCACACACTGGAGATGCACACACAGCTGGTGTGAGTCAAGAGACCCCACTGAGTTCACCAAAGCACCCAGGTGAGAATCAGGAATCTCAGTTCCTGCACACGTTCATGCCATAGACGGTGCGTGACAGGTAGCACTCAGACAACACATGCATAGCATGGATCTCTGAACAGACACAGTGTCTTTGCATCTCCCCCCTCACATCTGAAACAAGAGACCTGCCTTCACCTAGAGACAGATTTAATCCCACTGTACCCCCCCATCACAGCCCTGTGTGAAGCCCTTCAAACCACATCTCTGGCCAAGACACGCAGGGAACTGTGAGCACAGCGCAAGAGGACACGGTCCTCTCCCTGGCTTTAGGAAAAAAGAGGCAATAGAGAATGTGGGGACAGCCTTGCAGTCGGCTCCTGGCCCGGCTTCCCTCACTCTGCACACAGCAGAGTGCCCAAAAGCCACATAAAAGGGGCTTGAAAGACAGGCATGGTCAAATCCTAGTCAGCTAGGAAAGATTTGGCCTTGTGCAATAGCACCCTCAGAGCTGCACACAGGTAACATACAGAGGGCTACAGACCCTTCCCCTGGCTACCACATCAGCATGAACTCTGTCATCTTGTTCTGGGGGAAAGAATACCTTAGATACAAACGCTCTGTCTCTGGGAGTCATCCTCATCCAAGTCCTGACAGCACATTACAAAACGCACAGCCACCATTTGACACAGGGAAACTCTGTCCTCATCTCAGTTAACCCCTCTGCCCTCTGGCCCAGGTAGGACAAAGGAAGGAAGTGATCATAGAGCACTGGTGCCAGAAGCCAGCAGGAAGCAAGCCCCCCCCCCTTTCTCTTTCTCTCTCTCCTCTCTCTTTCTCTTTCTCTTTGTATGTTTCTCTTTCATCCTTCGGGACACAAACCTGCAAGTGCGCTCGTTTAACTCAAGCTGCCTCGACTTGCAACGTGAGTCTGTGAATTTGCAGGAACATTTACAGGTCTGGGGATCTTGTACAAACAAGTGCTTTCTCCTTTCTGAGCAAGGCTCACAGTGACTGCAAAAAGGCAAAAGGAAAGATGTCTAAGCTACAGCGCTTCAGCAGAAAGAAAATACACATGCAACACCCTAAACATCAAAGCAATCCCCTTGCCCCCTCCCGCAGCCCCCATGCTGCCCATTGGAGTGTCACGGGCTGATGGATTTTCCAGCAGCACCGCAGCAGCCCCAGGACCTGTTCAGGACAGCAACCCCTTGCGTTAGCGTAAAGAGAAAGAAAACAGGCTCTCTGCACAGTATTCACAAATGCTGCATTGGATCCAGTCGGCACAGGCCAAAGGGAGGAGGAAGGGGGAAGCAAGGATGGGAAGGTGAGAGGTCCCAGCTAGCTATTGATGTATCAATGAAAGGCATTCTCTGAAGTGGGTTGTTCGAGTAGAAAGAGGCCAGTGGCTAAAAGAGTTAACTGTACAGGGTTTCTCCACCCCTAGAAAGCAGCTGGGCTCCAGTATCATGTGCTTACCCCTGCAGTCTGCACTGCCCTTCTTTTTGTAAGCCCCATCCCCACCTTGCCACCTAGGAGTCTCCTACAGAGCAGCCATGAATTTGCAATGCAGAATTCTGTGAACCTCCGTGAGCGAAACAGAGCAAGAAAGACAGAGCGAGAGACAGATAGAGACAGAGAGAGAGAGACAGAGAGAAGCCACCATACCCAGCAGAGAAAGAGAGAGAGAGCCCCACCGTCTCCCCAGTATCCCCTCTCCAGGTTCCCACCGTCCCACCTCTCCTCTCTGCTTGTGATTCCACCAGACACGCACGCACACGCGCGCGCACACACGCACACGCACGCACATGCATGGCAGATGCCAGCCTGTCTGTCACCAGTCATCATAGCAGCGAGGGCACAAGACAAGTAGGGGAAGCGGATGACAAGAGCTGCAACTCGAAGGAGCAGAGAAGAGGTGCAAAGCACTCGCCCACCCACCCATGCTCTCGTGCCTTGGGAAAGTGGTCATCACTGATGATTAGAGAGAGCCAAGCAAGCCAAAGCCACCTTCCCTGAGCTTCCCTTAGTGCCAGAGCTGTGCCACCACCAGCGCTGCCCCTGCAGGGTCTGCAGCCCACCAGTGAATGAGGAGGGAAGGGAGAGATTTTGAGTGAGCAGCAAGCAGGCGGATTGGTTTGGGGAGAGGGAGGGAAGAGAGTCTACAAGCAGAGGACACAAACGTACAAGCTGGGTGGTTTGTACCGGCCTTTCTTGCGCTTTCTCTTTTGCCCCTTCCCCTTTCCTCGCTTTGATTTTCGGGAAGAAAAACAACAAAAAAAAAAAAAACAGAGAAAGAGAGAGAGAGAAGGAAAGAAAGGGAGAGAAAGAGAGAAAATGGAAGAAAACGCAAGGAAGAAGAGAAAAAAAATATAGCCATGTGCCTTGCTGGGAGGGGGGAAGCACATGAGGCAGGACTGGAGGGCAGGTCTCAGGGCCAAAGCACAGATCTTCACCTCGCATACAGATTCACTGGCCCCCTGTGCTCCTGCCAGCACTGCAACCAGCCTGCCTGCAGCCAAGCCAGTGCCAGGGCACATCATGCACAGAAACCACCTCTACTCAGGGCTGTTGCCAGCCCCCACAGCAAAGGCAGATCTGCTGGTGTCTCAAAGGGGTGCCTGCTCCCTCTGGAGAGGGGCAGTGGGAAAGGGATGAGGGATCCGTGGGGAAGGGAACAGAAAGCCTCGTGAAAGCATCACACAACCGCAGTGAGTGCAGACGGCCGTTTCGGGCGACAAGCTCAGACGCACACCGCTTGACTGACAAGAGGCAACCTGAGTAGAGGGGCTCTCCCACACCTCCTGCCTTGGGGGAAAAGAAGCTGCTCAGACCCAAAGTGGTGCCTGGCACCAGGCTGAGGAGGGGGCAGCCTAGCTCCAAGCAGCTCTTCTGCAGGGTTGGGATCAGTCCTGCTTTGGGATGGGGGCGAAGGGACCCTGGGGAGACCTGGTCTACACAAGTCCTGCTGCATGGGGGGCTATCTAGCCTGAATGCTCTGCTCACCCACCCACCTCCTGCCGATGGCTCAGAGGACTCCAGGAGACCTCGCTGTCCTCTACCAGCCCCTCCAGTATCCTCCTTCCTGATCCCCAAAGGAGAAAGAGGGAGGCCTGACCTAGCTGTGACACCCAGGAGATGATAGCCAGCAAGCGGCTTTGGGATCTTCCCTCCTTTCCTCCCCCACCCATCCCCTCCCTCCCTCCCCTCACTTTCCACATGGATCTCCCAGACAGTCAAGCAGATGGAGCCAGGGCACTGACTTGCTTCTTAAAAATTCACCAGTTGCTCCTGATTTCTGCACAAGGGCTAGGACATGCAGGCCTGAACGCTAAGCACTGATCTCTACAGTCCAGTGAGAGCTTGGCAGACGAATGAGCCCCAGCACACGGCAGCTCAGCAAAGACTCCCTCCTTCCTCGCTCTGCCTCCCTCCTTCCTTGGCGCAGCCCACCTCTGGAGGGGGCTGTAGAGGGGATGTAGGGAGACAGAAAGGAAAAAGAGGTGTTTCTTAGGCCCTGCCCAAGTCTTTTCCCTGGAACAAGTGTCTGAGCATCTGCTCCCTCACAGGTTCTGGTCCTAGTTGTCAGGATTTACAAGGGAGCAACGAGGGGAGGGAAACCAACCTGAAGGGAGGAGAGGGGCACCGATATAACAGGACTTTCAATCCAGCACAAACTGAAGCACACCAGTCACTCCCACCCCTTCCCCTCCTTCCCAGGGAGTGCAGAACCAGCAAAGAGCAGGTAAGGTACTGTTAGAAGAGCAGAGGGAAATGCAACACGATCTGGGCTGGCTGCTTCACCCATACCTCATCCTCACCAGAGCTCACACAGACCCAACTCTCGCACACCTTCAAACCACAGAGCCACGCAGACCGACCGGTCCCGGCACAGCCCCGCACAGAGAGGAGTGTTGGCTGCACGCAGCCCAGTGCAACCACGAGCAGATTTCCAGGGGGAGGAGGAGAGGCTGGAAGGCGGCTAGAAATACACAGCCACCAGGAGAAGGGTGAAAGAAGGTCTCTCTCACTCTCCCGCTTGCTCTCTCTGTCTGCTTCAGCCTCATCTCCCAACATTCACCCCCTTTCCTCTCCAACTCCGCACCTCTGAATGGCAGAGCCGCTATCCCAGCCATGCGCAGTCCAGTTGACCCCCTCGCCCAGAGAGGTCATTCTTTTTTCGATGTTGTTCCACGTTTTGTGATCGTTCCTGCAACTACTGCAGGACGAGAGCTTATTTATCTACTTTCCACAAGCTTTTTATTTTGAGGAGGAAAGAAAGGGAAGGTTGTGCTTAACCTCCTTCCGATCACCACAGCAAATCCATCAGGTTGAAAAAACTCTCACGAAAGCCTCCACCAAGACCTCATCAGGACATCCACCTCCCTTTCTGCCCTCCCAGCCCCCCACCCAACCAACAACAGTGTCACATCGCGCATGGCATCAGCCCTGCCTCCACCAGGCCTCTATTGCCACCTTTCCCTGTAGCCAGCAGAGTTCCTACCCAAGCTGCTGTGACAGAAGCCAGTAAGTTCTCACTCAAGCAGCAAGAAAAAAAATTAATAATAAAGAAAGGCAGCGATTTGCAGTAACCAGAAACACCCCAGGAAGAGGGAGGGGAGAGCGAGGGCTGCACCTTGAATCCATTCTGGTAGGACACACACGACGGGACTTCCCTGACTCAGGGTAAAGCATTAGGAACGACTGCCATGGTTGTGGGTCATGCAAGCTCCAGGTCTGGGGTATGAAGGAAGGACCGTCAGATCTGGGTTTCTGTGCCCACCTGGAACGGATTCAGAGTGTCGCCCCATGCACTACCATATGCCATTTCCAAAAACACCTTCTCAAAGTGAGCATCTTCAACCAATCAAAGAAATGGGCAAGGGGCAGTGGGGAGAGGAAACACCAACCAACCACCAAAAGAGAAAGGAGGAAAGGTTTATCACTTACTTTTCTTGTTTATTTTTGACATCTTTCTTTGGTCTGTGGGGGAAGAGAGAACAAAAGCCTTATTAGAAGGGAGCTTACCACATACACTTTCAGCATTATCCCCAGTTCCCACAAGTCCCAGGAAGGCCATGCACAGTTGACATTGCAGGACGCCCATGGCACAGGTTAAGTGATCCTCCTCCTCAAAGTGCCTGTTCTCTTGTTGCACCTCTCTGGCAGGCAGTGCCAACAGACCACAGGTTGTAGGCTAGCATTATCCACCCACGACAGCTAGAGATGGAGGGTCCTCACCAGCAAAGGACTTCTTTTCCAAGGCTCAGCCATCCCACTGTAAACCAGCTCAGGAGAGCGCAGAAGCCTCTGGACAACAGTCCCAACCCAATGGCAGGAAAGAGGAAAGACTCAGGGTAAGTTTATTGCAAGTGCAACCAGTGCTGCTCCATTCTCACCTGCAGTCACATTTACTGTGCTGTAAGAAGCTCATGTGTGCTATGTGCTGACTCTGATGGGGTTTAATTCTCATGATCTGGAAGAAAAGAAATAAAAAGGGTCACTACCCATTCACTATTTACATTCACAGCTCCAAAACAGCCCGCTGCGCAGCAGAACATTCATTTGCACCCCAGGCACTCCTGGAAAGAGCAAGGCAGAGTTTGAGCTGGTTTTGTGGCCCCATTCTCCCAGTTAGAGAAGGCCTTTGATCACAAACAAGCAGCAGCACCAGGCTCGTGCCAAAGCTCTGTTTGCTCATCCATGCAAAGCGCCAGAACTGGTGGATTGCCTTGGAGACAGGCACGGGAGCGGGCGTAACACCGCGGCAAAGTTCTCACTGAGCCATCTCTGGCCAATACCAGAGATACAATAGCAGAGTCTCCAACCTGCTCTCAGATAAAAGGCATGCTTCAGTCTAAAGCAAAAGCCCAAAGCAAAAGCTCCATATCCCAGCAGCATGTTTTCCCCAAACCACCATTCCTTCCTGGCTGACATCTCTCTCTCTTTCTCACTGACTTGACATACCAAATAAGTCTGGTGCTCTATGCTTAGAACACGCTGCAGAGCCAAACATTTGCCTAGCCCCCAACCCCTTCTTGCCTCCAAGGAGTCACATGGGAAGCTATGCATGACAGTGCATGTATTGCCACAGCCTTTCAACCCAAAACCTGGCTGGACCACTAGCTCTAGCATTTGCACCAGAGATCTGCTCCAATGTCTCTGACCCCTTTACAGGCACACGGGCATACCAGTCAATAACTGTAATTCAGCAAGGAATGGTAGGAAGAAAACCATCCTTAGCTACATCATACTAGTAGGCCCTGGCCTGGACTGGAGCCTGCAAGTGGAAAAGCAGTACGGGGAGCCATGGAAGCACAGGCAGGCTCTCTGCCAGAGACATCAAACACAGATCACGTCACAAGTAAAAACAGCTTGCTAGTAATCATATAGCGCTGTATGGCTCTTGTCTGTATCACAAAGTGATGACAATATTTACAGCAGCTATTCAAGAGGCTGAGGAGGACGGGACTACAGGTTAACGGTAATGAGCATCAGCAACATTGTGGATACAGCTGGGATACAAGCTTGGATCCAGGCTGGCAGAGAAGGGCAGTGACAAAGCTCCCTAAAGACAGTTTGCATCTTCCTAATGTACCCAGCCTTTGCCTTCACGGCTTTGGCTCTTCCAAGAAATGAATCCAGCAGCCTCCAAACAAAGGAGGAGGACACCCAGAGGCAGAAAGGCTTCTACACTTGACACTGCAACAGCGTGTTTCTTAGAGCCCCTTTTCACCCCTGCTGTGCCAACGTAGCTAATGACCCAAATCCTCCTGCTCTGCTGGTAAAGGCTGACCTCACGTGCCCTCTGGGAGAGAGAGCACTGACAGGATTTCCCCTTTTGCACTAGTCAGCTGCCTTCAGAGCAGCAGCTGTGCGGACCAAGCACAGAGCTTAGGTGGAAGAAGGCCCTGCAAAGGGACTTCTTGGAGGCTTCAGGGATAACAGCATCAGAAATGCTCCTTTGCATTCAGAAATGCTTCTCTGCACGCTCCTAGCTTCTGTATTTTTGCACTAGTAGGGTCAAAGCTACTGACAAGTGAATCCTCCTCTTAGCCTTGAACTGGTAAGAGCAGCTCATTTTTCAACCCTGTATGGCATAATGCTGGGCACAAGGATGAAGAGAGAAGTGAGAGGTGAGCCCTCCTGATCTGACTCTCTCCGAGGTCTCCATCTCCTGGGATAGGATGTTCTTCCTCTGGATGAGCTGTAGCTGGGACATGGGAGAGGTCACGTTGGCTGACTTGCACCCTCGACCTTGGCATGCCAGCTTGCAAGCTGGGCCCTCACCTCCATCGTGACGTTGTACACATCCACAGGGACACATTCTAGGCCCTCATCGCCGCAGCAACCTGCACATCTCATCAGAGGCACACAGGATGGCTTGAATATGTACTCCACCTCATCGGGGTACTCCTGGAAAATGTCCACCAGGGTCTCAATTGTCCTGCAGAAGCTGCGCTCGTAGACTTCCAGGAATTTGATAACTACAAGGAGGAACGGAGGGAAGAAGTTAATGCCAACTCAGCTCAAGAACACCCCGTGCTTCACCCCCTAAAATGAGCCAGATGGTTGCAACACATCTACCCTATGCTCTTCACTAACAGTTTTGCAGGCCTAAGTGCTTTGTCTCTGCCCTCCACACACACACACACACAGACAGCAGGCAGGCAAGAAGAGACCGTCTCCTACTGCTACTTCATGGCAGAGACAACACAGGCAGGAGAGCCTTGCTACTTGGACTGACTCTCCCTGACACCATGATGCATCCCATAGGTGCCTCCTCCACAAATCCCTTCCCCTGCTATCCTCCATGCTCTCAGACACGCTGCCACTAAGGATATTAGCTCAGCCAAAGAGCACCCGAGGGTGCTGCAAATGACCTGGGCTCTAGATGAAGGCCCTTCACTGGTTTATCTTTCACCTCCTTTCCAAACAGCCAGTTGCTGACCAAGCAGGTTTTAGAAGGCAGGGGTATAAACTAGAGGGGGAAGCATCCTTTCCACAGACCTCAACACAGAGGCGCTCCTGAGAACAACCAGATGGTTCTGAAAGACAAATCCACATGTCTTCACCCTTCCCCTCAGCTACTTCTACCCACGCAGATTATCCATCTCAGTATGCCACCTTGAGAACCACAACAGCACCTGTTACAAGTCACAGCCTCCGTGTCTCTGCACTGACCACTTTCCCAGACCAAAGAATCAAGCCACCCACTGAAAGATTCAAAGCAAGTTCACAGCACCCCCAGGATTAACTAGACCACATATAGTTGACTACTGAACCACAATGAGGCAGTGTGGGAGGGGGAACAGGGTGGATCTGCCCTTACTCCCTGCCTTCTATCTGAACGGAGCAAACACTAAGTGCTTGCGATCTGCACTGATTTCACAAGCATTTCTCAATGTTTCCCAGTCTCTTGCCAAAGCTTCATCTTGCTGCTTGGTCAAGGGTTGGAGAGATTTAAAGAGATGAGAGATAGGATAGATAAGTACACAGGCACAGAAACCAGCTGCTAGTATAGTTCTGCAAACAGTGAGTACCTGGAGCCCGCCAGGCCTCCTAGCTCTACCAGCATGCAGGCAAGGAAGATGTCTCAAATGGAGCAGATGATAAGTGTATGCACAAAGAGATAGTGCCTGCTCCATGCTGTTAGCCATTGTAATGATCCACCTGTACAGTATGCAGAGTCCTACAGCACCAAGGTTGATAACTCTGTGTGATAAGCACAAACTGCTTGCATCATGGAAAAAAAATGGGCTCTGGTAAGCGTTTCTAGAGTGCCCTGAACTTGTGACAAACTGGCATAAAGGTTACTTTGCCACAAAAATGCAAAAGCTTCAGGGCTTGGAGCTCACAGCCCGCAGTTAATTGTTGAAAGTTAATTCTAGGTCATGCAGAGCTGACAGTGCCACAGTGCTGAGAGAGAGTGTACAAGAGGGGAGGAGCTCCCATCCAGGGAGTCTGGAGTGTCAGAGAGTGTGAGCAGCTATTAAAAGAGAAAGTGGCTTATGAAAGGGAAATGCAGCCTGGCAGGCATGGACTTCTTGTTGGTATTCCTCGTCTAAAAGACAGCATGTCCCTGTTCCTTGTCCCTTCCTCTTCCCTCCTCCCCTAACTGCAGTATGCCTCCTGCCTCTTCTCCTGTCTTGTCTGTGCTACCTCCTTCTTCCTGTTCCCCTTCAGAGCGACCTTAGTCACAGCCTATGTTCCAACAAGTTGAACAATTTAATATGTGGGAAATTCTGCAGTCACAATGATAGCCACAGATCAGCACTGTTGATTATTCACACTGTGACAGCAGAAAGGATCTGGGTACTCTGGCAATAAAGGCACAGTTCTGGATAAAAATGCTCACGGACCCATGGCAAAAGAAGGGAAGGAAGAAAAGGGGGAGGGGGAAAGCAACAGTTAACCTCTGCAAATCAAAGGCTGCTCCCTGGATTAGTCTGGGACATAAAGAGGCAGAAACGGACTAGAAAACTGAAGTGAAACTGATTCACTTCTACCACGCTTTCCAAGGGTTTGCACTGTATGAGCAGCTGGATTATACCAGTGAACTACACTGCAGACTGACCGCAAAACAGTACATTCAATTTCTTTTGCAGAGTCTTTACTTTCATGGCTGTGCTCTGATGACTATACTTGAGAGCTGGGAGAGCTGACAGGACCAAATGCTTCCCATAAAGAATCCGGGAGTTTTTGCCTTTACTTAACGTATGATGATTTTCCAAAATCTGAATCAGCCTCTGAAAAGGAAAATGGGAATCTTCATCTAGCTGCCAATCAGAATATCCTGCCATGAAAGTCCTGTTGCTTTGATTTCACTGGACACAGAGCATTCAACACACGCACTATGCAATGCTCCATAATTAATTTGCACCACTGGTACCCAAACGTGAGCATGTGACTGAGGTACAGTCATTCCCACAACAGAGCCCTGCCCCTGCTACTTTATCGACATTTACACCTAGATATCTAGAGTCATATCCCACACTTTGCTGGGCTGATTCAGCCTATGCCTCCTTCCCATTGGTTGTGTTGGTGACAGAAGAACATGTCTACCTTTCACAGGGAAATATAGGAAGGTCACTGAAGGACTAACACCACTTGGCCTGTTCCCTTCCTGCAATTTGGGCCTCAGCCCATGTTAAAACTTAATCCCACATTTAACCCACACCCCTAACCTGTAAACACCTCCAGATTTGAGTCAGAGGTTCTTCTTTGTGAATGGAGGGGGAAATAAGGTTACAACCTAGTAAGGGCCCACATTAACTCTTCAGGGCAGGCAAACCCACAGCAGACAGGATCACGTCCAAATTTGGAGCGGTCGAGTGGGAACAAGCTAGACTAGAAAAGGAGCAAGTCTGTGATCATTTTTCCTCCCTCCTCGTCAATGGCTTAGCAGCAATACAGACACACTGTTCTTTTAAAAATAAGAGCGCAGCCACAAGTGCTGGTGGTTTCCTTTATTTATACCAGAAAATCTTTTCTCGTGGAACAAACAAAGAGTGTTTGTCTGACTCCTCTACAACTTCCCGTGCCACAAAACATGTGGAAGTCTCTCTGCGCACAAAAGGGTAGGGGCTGAAGCTAAAATTGCAGTCTCCAACCAGAGTTAGTCAATCCCAAATGAAAATTTGTCACAGTTTGACATCTCAGAGCAAGCACAACATGGCCAAAGACATAAAATCACCTTTTAGTCCAACCCCAAATCCATAAGAGCTTTAGGAGAAGGAGCTGCAGAACTGTCCTTGTGGAAAAGCGGCACGTCACTGACTCCTCTTCACAGAGTAGAAACTGAGGCACAGAGAAAGGCTCTCCAAGGTCATACAGCAGAACAGAAGTGCAGCCAAGTAATGCCAAGAGCCCTGATTTCTAGCTCACAGATGTATTTGCATTGCAGAACCAGGAATAGCACCAAGGCAAGAGCACTTCAGTCCCACCACTCACAGCTCCCCCTCTCCCAGCAGTCTTCTTGTGACAGGGAATTATATTCTGTTCAACTCTTCCTGTCCCCAGGAAGGTGGCTGGCCACACAAAATGGCACGGATGAGGATACTACCTCTTTTATACCAACAGCAGAGGGACTAGTTACCAAAGTAAGCCTCACAGCAGGCTCCATCTTGATCCCCCTGGAGTCACTGAACCTTCCTCTGTTGACTTCAG